ATTTAAAGACGTTATTGTTTTTTTGAATGGACGTTATTGTTTTTGTAGAGCTAATTGTTGGGGAATTGTGAAAAATTATTCTGAATTAATAAGGTTTGCATCAATAAAATAAATACAAAGAATTATTAATTGCATTACTGTTCAATTTCATTTCTAAACAGTCTCAGCCTTGGATCGACCCTTCCGGTCCCAGACTTCAGACGTCCCAAGTCCATTCGTTTGATCCATGAGTCATGACTCATGACCCATTAACTTAATTGTTTGTTTGGACATCCAATCCAGTCTCTGGGGATCCTCCAATGCGTTATGCGCCTGCATCGATTCAAACTTTAGTTTCATGGAAGAAAATTCAACGACAAGCTAAGTAGTCATCTCATGAGATTCTAACGGAATAGTAAATGTAAAAAAGTGTTCCAAATCAAAAGTAGATTATATTTTGAAGAAGAATGTTTGGTGTACACTTTTCGTACCCTCGTTTTCTCACGCATACAGAATAATTCTGTGTGCGTGAGACAGACGAGTTTACGAAAGGTGTACACCAAAATGTGAACACCTAGCAAACTCCTTTTTGAATCTCAATTTGAAGCATCTATAAGTTAGCTCAATTTCGTTACTAATTAGCACAACCCTGGTCCATCCATTCATATTAATGGACGTAAATGGACCCGGATTGGTTCAGCTCGGCTCCGAGCCAAGATTGCCCAGTCCAAAAAAAATCTTGAACCCTTTGAATATAAATAATAAAGCTTGTCCAACTATTCTTCATAAATTCATTTAACAGTCCTAAAAATGAATTAAAAAACTATTTTCTCAAGGAATACTATATAATATCCCCCACATACCCGCATTATAATAATATAATGTCATCTTTTTAATGTCTGAAAACGCCACAATAAGACGGTATAGTTGTGATATTCTGAAGGGCATCATGTTTTTACTCGTTTTTTGATAAATTTCCCTGATTATTAAATGATATTTTCCCTAATTATTAATAGATATTAAATTTCGCTAAAGTCATTTTCCCTTATTTATTAATAACCCTAACATCCCCACGGTTGAAAGTTAGAAACCAAGCACTCAGTTTTCGAACTACTGAGTGTCTATATACACGTCTTTATATTAAAAAATGGCATCTCATTATGCGCATGGCAAATTGCTTCCATTGTGTACGCCACTGTGATGTTCGGATTTTAGTGGTGGTCGGATCGACTGATCAGGGGCACTAATAAAGAGCATCTTAACCTATTATCCAAATCCAAGAAGGTAATCTTTATATATGAATAGAAAGGCCTGTGTGCTTAATTATAGTGGCAAGAAAATAAAATAAAAAAAGTACAGGAATAGGGATTTCCCACTTTTGGGTAAAATCCCATTATCACAAAATGTCGGAGTGCACCGTAAAAATAAAGCAGAGTATTATTTGTACACTCAAATAGGGCTATTCAACGCATTAACGGTGCTGCCTTCCCTGAAAGCTGCCTTTATTCTTGGCAAAGAAGGTGTTCTTTGGTTTTGGAATCTCATGAATATCCATCACTTGTATTGTCCTTTGCTTTTTTGCTTCACAAAGCAAACAATACACACCACAGAAACAACCACCAGTCAAACACTAAAGTAAGGAATGCGGTTGTAGTAAATAATGCCACAAATAGATTCCAAGGTGCAAAAGCAAACCATTTTGTGCTTCTTGGTAGTTCTCTTGAAGCCGCCTCCTAGCTGAATTTAGCTTTTCCACATCTACCACTGATTCCCTTGGAGGCCTCTGCAAATACCCATGAATATGACATTATGTTCTCCCCTCTAAGACACATAGATAAAACATGCTAAGTATTATTCAAAAGTAGCTGTTCCTTCAATGCTTGTCAATTTACAAACCATTAACGATCACCTTAAACACAACAAGTTTATCTTAATGGGCTGTTATTTAACAACAGAGGGAGTATTATTCGGAGTGCGTTAAATCTCTATCCCAAAGTAAAAGGCTACTATCATGAGCCGTCGAACCACTTGCAGCCTTGGTTTGAATTACGGAACTCTAAACGACTTGGAAAAAGAACGAGAATAAAAATTACAACCAAGGGTCCAAATAAGAAAAGTAACCAACAAACCAAGTTGATGGGTTTGACAGCTGCCTAAAACAATTATCTTGTATGCATTACAAAATTCTACATTAGTTGGCATGAACACAGCACGAGGAATCGTACCATATTCAGCAATTCTTAGACTATTTTGACCATATGTCAGTGAACAACTATGATGCAAAAATCCCTAATATTGGAAATTCATTGTTAAATAATCATTCCAACCCCCGTCCCTCAGAAGCTCCATTTGAATACATAAATGACATCATGCACTTCCAAATTTTACTCCCAAATAAACAGACTGCAACTATGATTTATGAGTCTATGTGCACGGGAAAGAATGAGGATATATACAGATGGAGGAGGAGCTGAAGCTGGCTTTGGAGCATATTGAAATGGTTTATTAGGAGTTCCATTCCTAGAGACTGATCTTGGCTTCTGTTCCTGTTCTGAATTATTCCGGTCTAAGCTTGAGCTCCCATCTAAAAAAATATCAGACTCAGTTGGTCATATTGATATTAAAAAGTACACTAAACTTGTCAAAGTGATTCATGAGCCAGAATATGTGATTCCAATATTGAGACTTACTTCTTGGATTTGGAGAATATCCAAAATCGGGTACCTGAAAAGGACCATCATACTACATTACTACTTAGACATTCAAAGTTTGAACTTTGTGTTTAATTTAATTTATGGTTCTTCAAAGAAGCAATTAGTAATTTGATTAGAGCATAAACCTGATGATGACCATTCTGTTGACTCTTGTACAAGTTCTGCTGGGGCGAGTCTCCCTCAGCTGTTGCCACAAGATTCATTGGTTACAAATTGCAGCTAAAAACTATTGAAACTAAAATAGTACGAAGTACTAAACTGCTTCGAGAACAATACCTATTAGATTTGAAGAAGCTTGTTCTGGTTGGTTAAGCCTAACCCATTCATCTACAGTTTCTTTCCATTTTCTGCACCGAAACCAAAGAACATTTATGCCATTAAGACACAAAGGTTTCATGAGAACCGTGTTAAAGAGTTATAAGCGAAACAGGTTAACCAGTCATTAACTGCTTCATTCCCAAAAAATCAACCAAAACAATTGTTTTAGTTGATTCTTTTGGTCAATGGAATTAAAACCTGACTAGCTGTTTCACCAATCTCTTCACTTCATTTGATGGATGCTTCCTCAGTCGATTCACGTGCCTTCCGATATCAGTTTCCTAACAAAAAGGGATGAAAAGTTTGGTTTTCCAAACAAATACTCCGTAACCATCAAGGGGTAAACAAACATTTTTATTAACTCACCTTCAGAGCTTGAAACGTAATATCCATATCTTCAAGGTTTTGCAGCAACTCAATCACAGACTCTTCAGACTATTCAATCCAAAAATCACACTTTTAACTTGAAAAACTGCAAACGAACAGATAACGAGATAACTTAACAGATTTCGAGAAATAACAAACCTGTTCTGGATCTTCAAGCTCCTCTCTGATTCTTAGAATTTTAGTCTGCTCATCGTCAAACAGACCTCCATACGGATCAGCATCATCATCATCATCTTCTTCTCGTTCACCTTCTTCCCGTTCATCATCAACATGACGAGGATGGTTAGACTCCGGGCTCGAAGGACTCTTACTAATAACACTATTGAAGTTCACAACATCGTCGGCACCGAAGTGACCGTTGACTTGGTCGCTGCAGTTTCGGCAGCGAATCGAGTACAGTTTCTCAACGATTCTGTCGCGCCGATCCTTCAACTCATCGGCGTAGTCCACCGATGCCACCTCTATCGCCGTCCCAATCAGCGTCCACACATCCGTTTTCGAATTTGACAGAATTGATCGAAGTTCATCTCCGTCCATTCTTCACCGGATCCTTTGTTTGCTTAAATTGATTCTTCTGTATTAAAAGAATGTATAAATACGAGGGGCAGGATTGCGTGGTCACGTCACCAGATCTGAGACTTGAATGGAGGGCGTCACACGATCTAGGAACGACGCCGTTCTGGCCAGCTTGTCGGAAAGGCGGAATTTTGGTCCATGGAAACTGAACCAAAAGAGAAAGCAGGATTGGAGTTAGAGCAGAGCTGGTACAGATAGCGTAGAAGGAGGAGGCATCGGGATTTGGGGGAAGGGGTTATTTTCGTTTTTGCCAGAAAAGAGTGTTCTGGGAAACTTCAGGAGCTAAGAAGGGTATCTCCTGGAATATTAATCGTCTGATTCCCCATTTTTTTAGGCATATTTTATTGGAAAAATTGACAAGAATAATCTCATCTTTCACTGGTCTTCTCATAATAATCTCACCTTTAAATAATCCCAAAATAATCTCACATTTGCACCTCATCTTCTTTCATTGAACACTGATCATGTTTTTTACTCTTTCTTTGAAAATTATATAAATAATCTCACCTTTCACTTTTTAATCATATCCTTATATATGTGAGATTATTTATATAAGATTTTTAAAAAAGGTAAAAAAACTTGGTCAGGGTGAAAGAAGATGAGGTGTAAAGGTGGGATTATTTTGGGATTATTTAAAGGTGGAATTATTATGAGAAGAGCAGTGAAAGGTGAGATTATTCTTGTCAATTTTTCCTATTTTATTTTATGTATCGCTTTCCGGCTCTCCCTCCTCCATCTATCTATTTTTTACTTTTGAAAATGAAAAGAAAATTGGAAAATGCTTAGTGTACATGAGTTGTACACAAATTATACATAAAACCCTCTTAATTGTCTATGTACACAGACAATTCATTTAGAAAAAGACAGAATTTAATATCCAATTGCCTGTGTACACAAGCATTGTACACATTTTGTGTACAACTTATGTACACCAAGCATGGCCCAAGAAAATTTGTCGGGTGATTATTACTAAGATGACTTGATACGGTTATAAAACTTCTGAAATCGTATAAATGCAAATGATGTGTCTAAAAAATACTCTGTATTACGAAAAAATAATGAGATATTAGAAATAGAGTAAATTCACTAAAAAGGTTTTGAAATTCAAAAATATGACTACCATGTTTTTTATTTCCTAAATATGAGTAAATTTCTGCTAAGTTTGACATAACTAAGCTTTTAAACATAACACTTTTTCCCAAACTTGGCAGATTACTCTTATTCAAGGAAAAAACATGATACTCCTATTTTGGAATTTCAAAGCATTTTTACATCTATTTAGAGCAATTTCTATTAAAAATAAGGAAAATTTGACAAGAACAATTCTACATTTCACTGGTCTTCTCATAATAATCTCACATTTACCTAATTTCAGAATAATCTCACCCTTACACCTCATCTTTTAACGTTGAACCCTGATCTGTTGATGACTTACTGTACCAGTTTTTTTACTCTTTCTTTGCAAACCTTATATATATAATCTCATCTTTTACAAATCTGTTTAAAACGGTCCCATGTTTCATTTTTCTTTTTTCTCCTTAATTTTTCTTTTTTTATTTTCATCTCATGTTTCATTTTTCTTTTTTCTCCTTAATTTTTCTCTTTATTTTCATCCCTAGACATTTTTTATTGCGTTTTATATCATTTTATTTTTATTTCGTTTTCATTTTTTATTATTCTATTTCTCACTACGTTAGCAGTTTTTTTGTAAAATTTCTCTTCAACATAACTCTTTTTTTCTTTTTTTCTGTATTTTTATTTTATTTCTTTTTTTAGTTTTTCTTCTTAATATTTCTCTTCTTATCAAAGATCTTTTTCCCACTTTACTTTTTGTTATATTTTTTTTATAAATTGCCCAATATAGGAGTAAATATAAACATAATTGCACAAATAAGAGTAAAACTTAAAACTCCCTTCAATAGGAGTAAACATTAATTTTGTACCCTTAATATCCTTAACCTAGTTAATTCTAAAATATGACTTATTTAATCATAACCTAGTTAATTTATGACTTATTCAATAATAATAATTTATTTATTTATTTTTCAAAAAATAAAAAAATATAATTTTTTTATAAAAAAATAAAAAAACTCAAAAAAATAAAATAAAATTCACCGCCGCCTCAGCACCACCACCTCCAGTCACCAGGGGAAAAAATGCAAGTTCATTACGAATGCCATATTTATAGCAGAAAACAATGAAAATGTTGGCATTCGCAAAGAGAAATATGCCATGTTTTTTGCTTTTTCAGGAAAAAAGGCAGTTTTTAGGAAAAATGGATTTTTTTCACCGCCTGGAGGTGGTGGTGCAGGGAGGTAGTACATGCGGTGGGAAAGGCATCCATATTTTTTTAATTTTTTATGGAGTTTTACTATTTTTTATTAATTTTTTTTAAAAAAAAAAGTATTTTTTAAGTTTTTATTTTATTAATATTTTATAAATTTTTTAATTATTTTTCTACGATTTTTTGAATTTTTTTCGAATTTATTATGAATTAAACATTTACTTAAAAGTTGTTAGGGCTTGGGTAGGGGTATACTTGTCCAAACACTAAAGTTACTCCTATTCAAAATATGGTACTCCTATTTTTGCATTTTGCCTGTGTTTTGCTCCTATTTGGGGAATTCTCTCATTTTTTTTTATTTGCACTTTCCCACTTTTTTATGTTTTTGTTCTTTCTTCTTGTTAGGTTAATTCCACCATCAATATGTTTTTTCTCTTTTCTTCATTTTCACATTTTTCTAAGTAAATCCACCTATTGAAATTCTACGTGATAAAATGATTATGGAAAAATAAAAACATTTGAGAAAAAGTAAAAATTCTACGTGATAAAATGATTATGAAAAAATAAAACATTTGAGAAATGTAAAGAAAAATAAAACATTCAGAACAATGTAATATTTTCTTTCTTTCATTTTCGCAAATATTTTATTTTTTCTTTTAATTAAAATTTTCCATAATTCTTTTGTCACATAGAGTTTTTCACATAGTTTATGGAATTAATGAGTGGACTTACTTAGAAAATACAATAATGTAGAAAGGACAAAAGATATAGGAAAAATTGAAAATAGTAATTCCAATTATTGTCGGTCCGCTAACAATAATATCAACTGTTGATTATTTTTGTATAATCCCAACTATATGGACCGTCCGCCAATAATGGTCAATGACTGTATATTACCTGCTCTAACAAGTGAATTTTTAATAGAAATTAAGCGTAAAAATTAAAATTTGGGATTACGTATAGGGATTACCTGTTATATCTCTTTAGAAACTATAAGAATTTATTTATAGTCGGTCACGTCGGATCGTTATTGGCGGAAGGCCCCTAAATTTGGGTTATTCTGAAATAATCGATAGTTGAGATTATTATGAACGGACTGTCAATAGTTGAGATTATTACGATCAATTTTCCAAAAATATATTGATGGTAGAATTAAGGTAACAAGAAGAAAGAAGAAAAAACATGAAAAAAATAACAAGAAAAAAAGTGGAAAAGTGAAAATAAAAAGAAAACATAACAAAAAGTGAAATGAGAAATTCATCTTTAATAAGAAGAAAATGATTAAGAAGAAAAGCATAAAAAGGGAAATGAAACAAAAAAAGGAAAGAAAAAGAAAACGACAAAAATGTACTATTTTGAAGAGAAATTTTACAAAAAAAAATCTCCCAATAGAGTAAGAAATAGAATAATAATATGAAAAAGAAATAAGAACAAAAGGATAGAAAAAGGAATAAATTAAAAAGTGTTTAGGGATAAAACTAAAGAAAGAAAAATTTTAGGAAGAAAAAAGAAAAAATGAAACATGGGACCGTTTTGAGCAGATTTGTGAAAGATGAAATTATTTATATAAGGTTTTCAAAGAAAGTGCGTGTACAAAACCTGGTATAGTATGTTATCAACAGTTCAAGGGACAAACAAAGAAAATGAGATGTAAAAGTGAAATTATTTTGAGTGTTACACAACCGTTGAATTATCTTGCCAATTTTTTCTAAATATAATAACTTGAGTCGTTTAGCAGGTTCCACTTGTTCTTTAAATAAAATAGGTCCTATTAATTTTGGGGACCCCAAAATTTATATCAATCTAGTAGTATTATACGTAGTACTTCGTATCTAAAGTAATGTGTACGTGGCACACATGCAATGATGCAATAGCCAATAGAAAGAATGCGACTCACCGGTAACATGTAGCGGAACGGTTCCGGCCGCTACAAAAAAAAGGAGGGCTCGCTGGCTATGCTACTAGGAATGGGAAGTACAGATGGCAATTTCGACAGACTCGTTGGATACCCGCGCCGAACTGATTTGATCAAAATGAGTAAAATCGGTTTGACAGGGGAACGGATATGGGGTGGGGAATACCCGCTTTTTTAAATGGATAATGGTGCGGTTATGACGAATATCTCGTTGCCCGTCCCGAAATATCTCATATAAGTATATAGAGAATAATACACCAAAGACCCATTTCAAAAACTCTAACATCCCTAACTCAGTGTATTACGGATTTGTGGCTCAGGGCTCTTCTTCTTAACAGTGAAAACAACTCTCTTCAATCCTTCTAGATGGAAGGATGCTAGGTCTACAGTTCGGCTCTACCGTCGATGACTTCTAATCTTTCTCATTATCAAGGATTCGACCCAGTTCCTTCTTTCTTCTTTTTACTATTTTTTATCATGTTACAAGAGATATTGAGTGCTTGTCATACTAATGAATTTAGGACTAAACCTGCTTGATTGATTGAACATTTACTTTTGTATATTTTATGGTGCATTTAATATATAATTTACTACGAAGAGTGTTTATATTAACAAGTAGAGCTAGACATTGGTTATTTGGTATCATTTGGGCAAACGGGTACTCGTGGATAAACCGATTCTCCATTGGGGCGGGTGCGATTCAAATAAAAATTACCCGAATGGGTAATGGGGCAGTTTTGGGGCAAATATTTATCCAACGGGACGGTTACGGTTTTATGTGTACCCGTCCCCGATCTGCCCTGTTGCCATCCCTAATGGGAAGTAGACAACATTAGACCAGACCAAACTAAATTAGACCAGATCTGATCAGAGTGGCGTAAAAGGCAGTAAGGATGTTTTTACTTGGATGATTTTCATTCATATATCAGAACAAAGAAGATCAGACCAGATCAAACCAGACTAGATAAAACCAGACATTTACTTGACCAGACCAATTCAGACTAAATATCAAATCAGTGCAGAAAATTTCATTTCAATTAAAAAAATGTAGTTATGTTACTTCATTCTTTTACGCTTCTCAAGTTCTCAACGCCCTACCCTCCTACTCTTTT